GATAAGTAGTACCAACATCGTGCGCAACGTCTGTATCATTGGCAATCAAACCACATCTACTTATTTTTATATTAAACGACAGAATGATAGATAACAAATAATTAAGCAAGTTTTACAGTAGATACAGTTATTACGAACTTATTACACACGGGAAGTTTTGTTGGCCTTTTACAGTTTTAACGCGAGATAGAGCTACTGAGCAAAAAAAAACAACCTTATTGATATAGAATTATATCATGTATTAAAACCACGATTTCCTCTGATATGTTTTCATCAAGAGAACTATTAAAGCAGCACTGACGAAATAAGTTTTTGGATTCTCTAAAATCTGTTACAAAAAATGAAGATTTCTTAAGATACATGTTCTTGGACATATTAAATAAGAACTGCTGTTTTTCCAAAAACTTGATGCGAACAGGTCGACCATAATTAAAACGGGGAAATCAATATACGGAATATTTATAACCGCCTAAAAACCGTACAGGAAAACCAAAAGTTTTTGGATTCTCTAAAATCTGTTACAAAAAATGAAGGTTTCTTAAGATTCATGTTCTTGGACATATTAAATAAGAACTGCTGTTTTTCCAAAAACTTGATGCGAACAGGTCGACCATAATTAAAACGGGGAAATCAATATACGGAATATTTATAACCGCCTAAAAACCGTACAGGAAAACCAAAGATTAAACAGTATGGACCCTTCGAAAGATTTCGGTGAACTCTGATGTACCAAAGGGACAAATAGTATCAAATGCAGACAATCTTACACCTAAATAGAATCCACTGCAAACAAGCATAAAACTACATTAAAACACGAAAATTAAGCCTGAACTTAAACAAAACAACAACTTCTTACAAAAGTTAATATCGCTAAATCAAAAAATAAATACTTTCTGTAACATTCATAAGATACTTTCAAGTATTCAAAAGATTCAGCCTGTTAAAGAATTAATTTGCATTGAACTGTGTTTGAAGTAGGCGTTATTTGTGAAAAGTAAAAATTTAAAAGTTACTTTTTCATCAAATAAAAGCATTTCAAATATATCCTTAGAAATGCAGCTAGGTACACTAACACATTAAGTGGTAAAAGCCCTTAATTGATATAGTACGCCAGTTCGTGCTTTCAATAATATTTCCGGAATATTGTTTGAAACTTACAAAAACCGATGCACTTTACTTTATTTTCATACTGAGATATTTTAAGAGGTGAACATAGGTTTAGACATCCAATGGCAAATAAAGTTTCTATCGCATAACATATTGTTTACATATACAGTTACAGATTTTGGCTGCTGTCTAATTTTATATAATTTTAGGTCCTTCTATGGTCATATATCTCTTAAACTGTATCGGTTCTTTTGCATCCCTGGCTGTAAAATATACGGATTTAAGCGTTACTGATGACGATAAATCTAGAAAAGCGCTTCGGACACATTATTTTTTGACAAGTTGTTTACATTTTCTGATATATACAAATTTAATTGTGTCAAAGAGGATAACAGCTTATGATCTAGACAAACGAGCACTAACTTAAAATGTTAAAGGCAATAAATCCAACTAACAAACATATCGAAAAATCAAAAAATAAATCAAATGTTTGCTAAACCTGCTCAATATTTGAAACAGGATCGGAGAACCCTTCTGGAGCACCTAAGAACATTCAGGTTTTTGGTGGGGCTCGTGTTGCTCAGTATCTAGTTTGTCTATGTTGTGTTTTTTTAGGCGATTGCTTGTCTTCTCGTCGTTATACGTTTTTTTGTTTTGCCACTGTGCTCTCAGTTTGTCTTCGAATTATGAGTGTTGTTATCCCTTTGGAATCTTCGCCTCTCTTTTTATTGAAATTGTAATCGCGGTTTTGGTGTTTTAAGAAGTCATGAATGTAAACACTTTTCATTATCTGTAGTCAATACAATGCAAATAGTGGTTTGACAATACCAAGCAGAACCCATCAAATTATGCAATCTAACAGTCAGGAGAATGAAATCTCCAGATTCAAAATACATGTGAATGGAAACAAAATAAATGCAACGCCATATATTACCGGACGAACTATCAGTTAAATCGAAAATCATAAAATCGAAAATCATAAAATCAAAAATATACATCGATACATACTTTGCACACTCTGCCTTTTTCAATTCGAATTAATTGTGTTGAGAAAAAATATAAAGAAAAAAAGTTTAAACGATTAATAAAAAAACATTTACGTGTTCAGTGTTATTTTACGGTTATCACAAGCGAAGAAAATTTTGATATCCTTCAAGAGGATCGGGATTTTTTACCTTGTGTTTAGGGGCCTCGGTGGCCAAGTCTTCTAAATAGTCGAACTACTGTATCACTATAAATCTTGCGACATTGATATGCCTTCGATAACATTTCATAGAAATATGTATAATTTCAATCAAGTCCTCCTGACAATAATTGGTGTAAGGAATAGGATGATGACATGAATTGTGCAATTTGGTTTTTAATTTTGTAAACGGAATAATCTGCTTTTGATTGAGTGTTTTTCTTTACGGGTTTGATTAAAAAGTCAATGCCTATCAAATTAATTTCTAACATTGTTTGTTATTCGTTTGTATATATTCTATATGCATACTGCTCTTTATACTAATTCATAGCCATTGTGTAATAATTGCTTATGCGTATCTTCATATTTTATCCTTCTTCACTTATTTTTGCCTTCTTCACTTATTTTTGCCTCTTTAAGACTTTAATTCTTTTTAGTGAAACTAGATGAAACGTCCTGTGTAAATTCTTTTTAGTGAAACTAGATGAAACGTCCTGTGTAATTAGACCTTTAGTTTTGTGTACTATTGCCAATGCAAATTACAACATTATTCTATATATATAACCAACAAAATGAAAGCAACATGTTATAAAGTTTAAAGTACCTAAAAATAGCCAAATCCACCTAAGGTCAACTTTGCCTGAGGGAACTGAAACCTTAGTTTTTTTAATAATTTCAAAATTTATAAATAGACAATATTCTAGATTAAACATTTTAATTTTGTTTCATTAACGGCTTTCTGTATATGCAATTGCTGCATAGAAAGCAACATTTTCTCTTTTTGTTTTTTGTTTTTTTTTATTTTTGTAAAACAGAAGCGAAAAATACCAAAAAAATATTCAAACTGATAAATTGAAAACTAACTGACATGGCTACAGCAAAAAATGAAAAACAACTTAAAACAAACAACAGCATACAAAAAACAACATGAAAAACTACGGACTGCGTAACACCATTCCTTTAAAAAAAAAAAGGAGTGACCTCGGGTGCCTTAACGGTTAGCATATCCTTGTAAGCTATCTCTAAGAGAAAAAAAAGATAATGACTCTAAGTACGTGTCACTTTATCTGTGTTTCAACAAGAAGCTGTAGCTAAAGTAAATTGAGGATTGAGTATATTTAACAGTAAATTCTTCATCAGAAATGATAACATCTCAATTGTAGCTATCAAATTAGTAAAACGAAAATGTTTTAAGCAATACGATTTGTGTTAAAATCCAAAAAGATCTGATGAATTGTCAATTACTCCGAAGTGAATTGATGACTACATTTATTAAAAAGACTAATAAAAATGTCTCTTCATTGGTACTCGAGACCAAAAGCTGCGATAGGACTTTTATGAATAAAAACCGTTTAAATTTGTTAGTAACAAACACTTCTGTTAAAAAAAAATCTCTAAGGTTTTGATTGATATTACAAATGCAAAATATTTAAACATAAATTATCTCTGACAGGTGTTGTAAAACATAGAGGTTATGCTCATAACCGTAGTAACTTTAACACATTCAAGTAAACATATACAAATTGACTGTTGATTGTCAGTTAGTTTTTGTCGGCAACTTTAATAAAAAGTTATACACCTCGTTGTTCAAATCTTTAAGCCAAAATTGTTTGCAAAGTGCTCTGTTATAAAGAAATCATTACAAACGTTTACTAAAAGATGTCAATAGAGAGAGATGTGTAGAATTTAAAAGCAACTGAAGGACAAACATCTCAAAAAAGAGATTTAAAAGGCACCATATAGTCTTCAAAAGTATATTCTGCCATGTCAAGGCCCTTTATAGCTACCAATATTGTATGGTATCTGTTCATTGAATTTTTTTTTTCCTTTTTTTTTATAAAGGGGGGGGGAGTGTTATAGTTGTCTCATTGGTGATCATACAACATCTAATTATTTTATATAAGTGTTTGACAATGTACTCGAAAAAAAAAGATCATGCACAGTGTACGTTGTTATGAATGAAACATGATGAGCGGTAAATGTTGTTTTAAATTTCTCTATCTTTGATTTGTTCTATTGTGCTTTTTTTTTATATTTATGTATACCGAAAAAAGTGGACATGGGTGTTAACATCAACGACATCAAACAAAAACAGATAAAAAACAAATCAAAACCATAATAGGCAATACATTAAGAATATGAAAATGAAAAAAATAAAAAACATTAACAACTAATGAGGAAAAACAAATAATGATCAGATGCATAATTTAGACGTCATAGCTTTATGTACATATGCATACTGAAGACAAAACATTAACGACCAACATAGTTATATCTCAAAAACAAGGACACGGATCTTTCATTTGATTCGACTTTTTAAGTCCCGTTAGTTATAAACCATCATTTTATTACACTCTTTTAAAAAGCTTGTAATTTTGTAACAGAGGAACGAGCAACCTTAAAACAGTAAACACTGGACCGGTACCACTTTTATAAGCTAAAAATTGACCACCACCGTCATCATCTAAGTTGTAGGATATACATATATAAACTGATTGTATTTCATTCATAACTACCAATGTTCGGACTCTTGCAAGTGAAACGTGAATTTAAAACTATATTAAAAAGAAATATGAATTTGCCCGCATTTTTAAAGTTTCAAAGCAATGTCATAAAGGTGAATTATTGCGCCGATTTCTCAGACTGAAATGATTTCATACCGTTAAATGACAAGGCACATTGTCAAGTTATAACAATAGACAAAACTTACCCCTGGATTACTAATCCTAACAAAAAGTTCCTTCAAAAAGTCTGCATCCATCTTAAGTATGCTAAGCTGTAAAGTTTCAGTATGTATATTTTACAGTCCAATTTCTCTTTTCTCTATATAGGAACGTCGTCGTCACGTTTGTACTGTTCAAACCACTGTTTCTACCTTTTGATCTGTTTAACCATTACAAATAACCCTTATTTCAGTATTGAATGATGTTATTTCCAACCTGAAGAAAATCACTGACGTACATAATATCATATGTCGCAATTTATACATAAAACTTTTTTTTTCATTTGATCAATAACATAACTTCTGCTTACAGCGATATTATCTCATATCTATTAAGAATTATAAATCAATAGTAAAAACATTAAACAATTTTTCTGCACCAAATGCGCATTTCGACATTAAATGTCTCTTCATTGGTACTCGAGACCAAAAGCTGCGTTCGGACTTTTATGAATAAAAACCGTTTAAATTTGTTAGTAACAAACACTTCTGTTAAAAAAAAAATCTCTAAGGTTTTGCTTGATATTATAAATGCAAAATATTTAAACATAAATTATCTCTGACAGGTGTTGTGAAACACAGAGGTTGTTAACAGATTTTGATGTTATACGAAGTTGATAGTTTATTAAAATAACCGAAGCACTCAATAAAATAATGAATAACACTTTCCTGTAAAAGTTTCTTCTTCTATAGAAATAAAATGGATTTCTTGTACACGTTCGTTTTTTTGTTTTTTTTTTCTTCTTCTAAAATTGCACTTTGTGTTTGAATACGCTGATGATATTAAAGGCATGGTATCGTATACCGTAATTTACCTAACTCAACTAAAACATTTTTACAAAATTGTCCTTTATTTTTATAAATAGACTGCTTTATTTAATATTTATATGTGTACGACTTAACCGCTACATTTAAAATATGTAGTATTTAAGCTAACCGTTGTCCCATATTTCTATATGTATACTGCTTTATTTATATATTTATACGTGTACAATATAGCGGAACACTACTTTATTTATATATTTATATGTGTACGACATAACCGCTACATGTATATAATTATACGTGTACGACATAACCGCTACATTTAAAATATGTAGTATTTAAGCTTACCGTTGTCCTATATTTTTATAAGTATACTGTTTTATTTATATATTTATACGTGTATAATATAACAATACACTGCTTTTTTTATATATATAATTATACATGTACGATCTAACCTGTTAGCTACATTTATATATTTATATGTGTACGATCTTACCGCTACCTTTATATATTAAAATGTGTACGACATAACTGTACACTGCTTTTTTAATTTATTAAATGTGTACGACCTAACCGCTAAATTTACAATATGTAATATATAACTTACCTTTGGCATTTCCATAATCAGCTGTTTTTCCTCAATATTTTTTTTACGTTTTAATTGGAAAACATCCAATCAGAACGTATACACGTTTAATTAGTTTACGATACTTGACTTATTGTGCTTAAATATCAATACTTTCATAACAACAAAGACTGCTTCTTATATATAACAGAGTTTTAATGCTTGTTGTGGGAAGAAAAAAAAATGGTATATCTTTAATCTGAACTGGTTCGGTCAATATTCAGAACAAAATTACCAATCTCGTCTCAATTGAAATATTCCTCACGGGACTGCATAAGATAATGACATCTAAATGCCCGTTTACGATAATACAAAAATAAAAAAATTAAAAGAATAGATCCGGGATAATGTTTGTGATGAAACTCGTTTCATTTCTCAGAATGTTATGATCCAGTAATGCAATGGATAATTCTAATTTAGTAAGGGTGTATATTAAAGGCAACCGTAGTTTAGTGTCGTCCAAATCACATAGCTTTATTCAAAACATAATTATCTACGATATAAACAAACGATGATTGAATTGCATGAACTCGAAAAAACAAGACAGTATAAGGTAAGCATATCATGCTGTGGAATTCTAAGATTAAATTTTGATTTAAACTTATAAAAGTTCTAGTACAAATCAAAAGTTTAATATCTGCGAGTAAAATTGATTTAGAAACCAAGATTTATACTAGCAGAATTATCTGTTTCGTTTGGTAGATACTAAGAAAGAAAAGATTTGATTTATGTTCAAGGAAATAAACTAGAAATCAATAGGAAAATTAACAAACGATGCAATTCACAGCAATGTCAAATTATTTGATCGAAGTTGGGTCTTTTAAACCATTCCATCAAATATCAAAAACAAAAATAAACATAGACGATACGCACTGTTAAAACAAGAATTCGCAAAGTTAAAACACCAAATGCAGATTTATTTGTACATTTTAGTCAAAACCAAAGTGATAAATGATTAAAAGTCAATTGATGATGTTATCACTTTTACAATTTACATGAGTAAATTGTTTCGTGCAGTCTTTTACGCCAACCTTTATTCTATTGACATCTCTTCATGCTCATTACCGTAGTAACTTTAAGACATTCAAGTATTAACATCTACAAATTGACTGTTGATTGTCAGTTAGTTTTTGTCTGCAACTTTAATTAAAAGTTATACACCTCGTTGTTCAAATCTTTAAGCCAAAATTGTTTGCAAAGTGCTCTGCTATGAAGAAATCATTACAAAAGTTTACTAAAAGATGTCAATAAAGAGAGATGTGTAGAATTTAACAGCAACTGAAGGACAAACATTTAAAAAAAAAGATTTAAAAGGCACCATATAGTCTTCAAAAGTATATTCTGCCATGTCAAGGCCCTTTATAGCTAACAATATTGTATGGTATCTGTTCATTGAATTTTTTTTTCCTTTTCTTTTTTATAAAGGGGGGGAGTGTTATAGTTGTCTCATTGGTGATCATACAACATCTAATTATTTTATATAAGTGTTTGACAATGTACTCGAAAAAATAAGATCATGCACAGTGTACGTTGTTATGAATGAAACATGATGAGCGGTAAATGTTGTTTTAAATTTCTCTATCTTTGATTTGTTCTATTGTGCTTTTTCTTTTATATTTATGTATACCAAAAAAAAAGTGGACATGGGTGTTAACATCAACGACATCAAACAAAAACAGAGAAAAAAACAAATCAAAACCATAATAGGCAATACATTAAGAATATGAAAATAATAAAAAAATAAAAAACATTAACAACTAATGAGGAAAAACAAATAATGATGAGATGCATAATTTAGACGTCATAGATGACAACGATTTTTGAGTCCTCCTCCAAAAAACGGCAGGTTTAAGTTAACTTTAGATATACTGATCTCGAAAGTTTTGAATAACGCAAGAGATAAGAAAATGTTGAAAACATCAATATCACCGCTTCAAAAACATTCGAGGAGCTATTTAAACGATTTAAAAGTAAAAGTATATTACAGATGACAAGAGCTAGGCAAAGTACTGTTGAATCATAAACTCAACATTGCTGAAGCCAAAAATAATCTTAATTTTATGTCCATCTTTCTTTTCATCAAATTGATTTGTTTTCAAAATTATAACAGTTTATTGTAACTGATGATGATAACTGACAACTTAAAATATTTCAAGTATACAAATCAATTCAATTCGATAAAGTATACATAATAATTCAATTCTAGGAAAGTATATATATCAATGCAATTCTAGGAAAGTATATATATCAATGCAATTCTAAGAAAAGGTAATAGGTATCTGTCTAGATAGTGATGCAACTAGTTTGAATTGAAGTATTTCAATTGAAGATATTATGTGATTCAAAGTCTGCAGTTATCTCCCTATCAAACGTTTCATTTTGTAACGGTAGCCTATAATTACTTACATCTACTTCATATGATCTCTGGTGAATAGTTGTCTCATTGACATTCATACCGCATCTTCTTATTTTTATATTTCTGTTTATCTAATTATCATTTCTGTTCATCTAACAATTCATTTTAAAATTATGATTTACTAATCCTGAAGAATAAGATTAACCATATGTATATGTTATGTATCTGAATACTTGCTGATAGAAATAAAAGTAAAACCTTTGATTTGTTAAGGGGTAAGAACTTGGATAAGGGAGTTAACTCAAACAAATGATTTGAAATCTGTTATTGAAATAGCGATTAGCATTTCTGTAAACTAAAATATTTACTTTGTTTGTGAGGATGGGAAACAGCATCAGGGAGAATCGAAAGAAGTTCAACTAACATAATTAATCTGATGGCATTAGAATATTTATGTAAAAAAAAAGTTGAAATAGAAGAAGGGGATACCAATGGAACAATTATAATTAAAAATCAAAGAAAATCAGACGAAACTAGGACCAAATGAAAAAAGATAAAAAGACAAAATTAGTCTACCAAACATTACAAAAGGAAAACTAAAGAATAAATTTCACAAATAATGCAAAAGGTTTCTGAATTTTGCCTACCAGATTTGAGAATGACGTTTCACATAAAATTTGGAAATGTTTGGAAACATTTAACTGGATGAAATAGTCCAGTATTGAGATTTCACACTTCTGAACGGTCAGATGGGCTTTTTGTCTTTGGCCTCAAAATATGCGTGACTATATATATGTTACTTAAACTATAATCTTGATAACTACCATACAAGCTAATTCAAAAATTCTTATATTATTCAACATACAATACATCTCATCAACCTCCAGAAACAGACGTAAATGTACAGTAAAAGACAACAATAACGAACACCCATAAAATGCCATTTGTGGTTTGGTACGATTAAGGCGACATTATTTCCGAATTCAAACTGCGTACATCAATAGAGGGGAGAGACATATCAAGGTAACAAACACAGACTTGAGGATACGCATGAGCTCGTCAGTGACATTCGAATACAATTTAAAAAAGGGCAAATAAAGTACGGAGACGAAGAGCATTGAGAAGTGCTGACTACTGGGCTGTACATATCTTTGAGAAGGAAACCTTAACTAGCAGTGGCATCGACCCAATGGTTAATAAAGTGTTCATAACAACCAAGAATAAAATTTTGTCAAAGGGGTGAGAACGGTCGCTTTTCTTGATTTACGCTTGGGAACGCCCAAACCTAAA